CCATATCTCTTATGGGTAAGACCAGGAAATATTAACTATTCTATACCTCTTGAAGTACTGTTTTAAGTAAAATATGTTTAAATAAATCACATATGAACAAACACCCACCTTGTTGTAAAACATATATAGGCTAGGTATTGACTTTGTATAGTTGAAACTCATGAATATATAATTCTAGAGAAAAATAATCTCCTACTATGAAAAGCAAGAATAAATAAGTAACTCTTAAGAAAGTAGATTGCACCATTACTACACTGCAGGCCTTGATAGCTGTGAAAGCTGCTGATAGATTTCACATATAAATCTCTTATACTCCAAATTGTCATCATCACAGACCGTGTGGGTATAGGTAGAACAGTCCTATTTCAATACTCAGTGAAATGCAGCTGTTAACCTAATTTAGTATAGTCTGTCCTTGGGGAACTAGGAGATTAGTGGACCCCCAAGGTCAATAAATGAAGAGACAGCACAGTCTATAACCTTAACAGATTTTTTTTTTTTTTGAGCTAGGAAGCTTCCCACATACCCCTTGGCTGCTCGTGGATGAATAACATAAAGTTAATCTGCTATGAAGGGGGGAAACAACTGCGTGACTTATTATCACAGACTATCACAGTTTTCAGTAAGCGCAACACAAAGCAGAACACAGCACAGAGAGAATAATTCACAGCTGATCTGAAGCATTGCTGAAGACAATAGGTGAAAACATTGGCACTTTGTTTAGAAACTAGACATCTGTTCATAGAATACTATGACAGTATCTCAAAGCTCAAACTACAGCGCTTGCTTTGTGCTCTCAAACGCCTTACCCTTTCAATGCTGAATTCCCTTGCATAAATGCTCCATTCTGTGTAAAAATAAGCAACTTTTTTCATAAAGCACTGTTTTAAATGGTGCAGATAAGGCTGTCCAGCATCAGCAGACACGCTGTACCATTCCACCTGCATGCAGATCTACGGGCACAGTGGCAGCCTATATCTGTGTCCTTAGGGACAGCTCAAATAATCTGCAGTGAAGGACCGATATAGCTAGGCAGGTGCATGCAGATGTCATCAAAATGTAGACTCTGGACAGTCGGGGAAACCTTGACTGTTGGTGTCCCCTTATAAGTCGTCTGTTTCAATCTAGAGTTTGCAGTGAACGATCTCAAAGAGGTTTCTCCAGAGAGAATCACACAGTTAACCCTTTCAGTAAAACAGGGACAAGCACAGCTTGACATTTTCCTGCTGCATCCCCTGACACTCAAGGTTGGTAAAGGTGCAAGAGAAAGAAGAATTGCAGGCACTTACCTATGCGAATAACGTGTGGCATCCCTTGACAGTCCTGAAGCCAGACGATGTAGCAGAACAAAACTGCCCAGTATTTTAAAACCATACTCCAAAAAGAGAGCCAGTAATGTGTCATTGTTAGAAACAAAATCCCCACGAAGTTTAGTTAATATGGGATTCCCTGGGACTTCCTTGGCGGTTTTAAGATTCCAGTGATAGCCCAAGACAGTCACAGTTGAATGCCTCTGCACTGCACATGTTAGCAGACTATCCCCAAGCCCCAGCAGCTGAAATCAAAGGTTAGGAGATGCTTCTGCTAACCACAAAAAAAGCTTCTTCTTCATTTACATGTGTTGTACGGCTCTCTCCAGTCCCATTCACCTGCTGGAGACTAGATGCTTAGATGCGGTCCTCATTGATGCTATCAACTGGTCCTTAGCAAAGCTGTGGAGTGGAATCCCAGACATAGGAAATCAGGAGCTCCCTGGGGCTTATGAAGAAGGAAAGACAGATGCAGCAAGAGCCATCCTGCAGCTGAAGAAAAAAAATGTATATTCCTTTCTCTAGCTTCAGAGATTTAGCAGTGAGAGAGAATTGGACTGACAAAGGCAGACACACTCAGGCAGCCTGCCTGCTCCACATGCAAAGCAGCTACCATCTCATGACTGTGATTTGTTCAGTGGGTGAATACAATTCATTGCACTTGTGTGTAGTCTTTAGGAGTGGATGGGTCGACTGCAAATACAAACAACAGGGTGATGCTGGATTGCAAATGGTAGCTTGGACATTCAGAAAATGGGTGTCAGTACTGAATTCATACAGGACAGCTTTCAGTGCCCCCTCCCTTTTCCTAGGAAGCTACTTACTTGAAGTGGGTAAGGTGCCAGCTTTAGTTTGGCATTAACACTGCTTCTTTTCTTACACTGCTCCCTGTGCAGTAAAACAGGATCTCAAGCTTTGAGGGTACAGGGAAAGGTGGGGTTTAATGATTAGGTTGCCGATACTTTATCATCAGGGCAGGGTTACTAAGCGACCTGTCTTACCATAAATAGCATAATTAATTTTAATAACGTTACAATGTCATTTGACAGAAGGGATTGTTTAGGTTATGTGGCCCTTATTCACGTCTGCCTACGGAATAAACTCACAAAAGAAATAACTTGAAATACCACGCGGCAAATCACTGTTAAAAAAAAAGACACTTGTGAGAGGAAAACATTAGCAACCAATTGAAACAATGACAACAAAAAATAAAATGTGCAAATGCATACATACTGTGCGCTGTAATTTGTTTCAAAACAAATGATGATAGTAATTCTGTTGAAGGTGTAGAAACTAGTTCATTATGATCGGAGACAGTTTTCCCTTGAGAGAGAGGAAAAAATAGAAGATTTATGTAGAAGTGCAGTTCATTCAGTGTTTATTTTGAAACTTAAGGTGCAGTTTTTTTTTCTCCTGTTCTAAATCGAGATTGATTCATGCAAAGCACTGTTGAAGTCCACACACTGTTGATTTACTAAAGGAGTCAACGTCAATGTGGTGAAAATTCACTTAGCAAAGAATAACCAATCACAAACAAGGAAAAAAAAAAACACGATTTTTGCTTGTACGCATTTGGATGATGAAAGTCAGCAGAGCTTCACCTCATTCACTAAGCTAAAGGGAAATTCCCATGCAAAGTGAAAATTCACTTTTTTAGGTGAACAGCCTATTTGCCTTTAGTATACCAACCCCTGTGGATTACTGCAGCCTGTGCTTACACTTATGTGCCACTCACAGTGGTTGCAAATAATATCATGATAAACAATCACTAGAACAATTAGTATATGTAATATGCAAACAACATCCATATATAGACTGTATACTATATACCAAATATTTACTGTACATACATCAAGTTTTGATACACCATATGGTAAAGAGGAACTCTGGTCTAAATGAAAAGCTGACTATTGTTAAAATGAGGAGTTGTTGAACTTATTAAAGCTGAACTCCGGGCCCAAAAACTTACATTTAAAACCCAACTCCACTCAAAAACTCTGCCTTCCATTGCTTTCTAGCATCACCCTCTAACCTATCATGCCAGGTGTTTCGTTCTTCTTATCTAGTGAAACAAATTCTACTCACCTGACTCCTCTCTAATGGGTCCCTTACTGAGGGGACTGCTAATTCAGCGCTGCACAGTAACCCTTGCTGGCAGGTCCCGTAGACTCCCCTCAGGCTAAAGTCAGAAGCCTTCTGGATCCTGAGAGGATGCCTTCAGTGGAAAGCCAATGTCACTCAGGTAGTGACATCAACACCTGGAAGAAGGACCCCAGCAAGAAAAAAACTGAGAGGAGAAGGGCTTGGCCCTGGATGATCACATGACTGCAGTTTAAAGTAGTTCTAAAGGCTAGTCATTCTCTGCATTAATGTAAAAAAATGTCCAGTACTTTTCCATGTTCCCTCTAAATACTTACCTTTTGTCCCATGTCACCTCCTCCAGGTCCAGGAAGATATCTGCTGTTCCCCAAACTGCCTGGTACTGAGAGCAGTGGATCAATAGGTCCTTCTGTTGTCAGTTAAACTTTCAGTAGGAGGGAGCAGGGGCGTGGCTTGTCATGAGCTATGTGTGTCTATGGATGCACACAGCTAGGCACAGGTCACATGCACATACAAATGGGAATGTGCACACACAGGTGTCTCCTTAGCAGCCAGCTAGCTGAAAGAGACACCCACAAACAGACAGGAGATCGGTCGTTTAGGGACCAGCTGCAGGAGGAGTTAAAATGCAACTGGTAACAAGAAGAATGCTCAAATAAGGTAAGTGGGGACTTCCTCATCTTAAAAAAAAAATACAAAGGTATTTAAGGTAAGTATAAAAGGCGACTTTTGTTCCCTTTATTCAGCCCAGCAATCAGTAAAGGGGGTGGTGGAGGGAGGGATGAAAGGTTTTTCGTACTGGAGTTGAGCTTAAATATATTCCTCAGTAGCAACAAAGAATATGAATTTGCTTTGTGAGCACAAAAAGCCTTTACAAAGCCAGATAATACTTTGTAAAATTAACAGTGTTATCATTACCCTGCTGCCCATAGTTTGTACAGAGAACAGAGGCTGTGGGAGGAACCCAGCAGCTCTACCTACTATGGAGAATTTCAGTAGGGGGCGGAGACATGACCAGTCACTCTGCACAAGAAGAGAGAAGAGCAGTAGACATGCACAAAACAAAAAAAAATTGTTTTCAGACGAAACAAATGAAAACGAAACACGTTTTCATTTGTTTCATCAAATGAAACAAATTTTTATGTTGTTTCGGATTTGGAGGCAACGAGACTTCGAATTCGAAAATCGCAGAACGAGCGGCAGCCACATCGGCGGCCACCATCTTGGAGGTGGAGCGTGTGACATCACATGATGGTGACGCCATACGCTGAACGAGGGGCAGCCATATTGGCCGCCAGCATGTTCCACACATGCCGCGTCACCATTTTGGAGTATATTTTGGTGTACACCAAGATGGCGGCGCCAGCATGTTCGAGTGCCGCCATCTTGGTGTATACCTAGATCTACTCCAAAATGGCGGCGTGCATGTGTGGAACATGCTGGCGGCCAATATGGCTGCCCCTCGTTCAGCGTTTGGCGTCACCATCATGTGATGTCACACGCTCCGCCTCCAAGATGGTGGCGGGCATGTGCCGAACATGCCAGCAGCCAATATGGCCGCCGGCGTGTTCTGAAAATGAATTAATGTATGCCCGAATATTATTGTTTTAGTATATTCGGGTATATATTCAATTCATTATTTCGAATTCGGACGAACCGCTGAATCAACTGATTTTTGTTGATTTGCCATGTCTAAGCAGCAGTGAATGGTCTTTATTACAGGAAACTCCTGTAAAAATAAATAAAAACAATTGCCGCTCAGCTGCATTCGGCTATTCACTCACTGCTGTTCAGCATCTATAGAATAGACCAAACAGCAGCGAGTAGCCTGTCGGAGGTTCGGCTTGGCTGATCCAGATGTTGGTAGCTAGCAGTGGATATATGCCCCATGATTTTAAAAAATAAAATAAAAAATAGTAGGCAAATACCTAATTACTTACCTGTTCCTGGCTGAAGAACTGTCGGCATCAGATAAGTTAAGTGCTTACACCAGCATTGCGGGTGAAAAAAAAATATAGCCTTTAATGTCACTCTAACATAACCCTTAAACCTAACCCCTAATATCAAACTAACCCACAATTGCTAATCTTAACCTCAAACTAAACTTAGGGGTATATTTATAAAACAGTTAATTTAACATTCAACAAACATTCACTGCAGGTGATTCTTCCTGGTGCACATGTTTGATTGATTCACTGTGAGTGAATGTTTGACTGCACTTTAAATATGCCCCTTCATATTTAACCTAAATCTAACCTCTAACACTAAATTCATACCGACACATCAATATGGCATGTCTAAAAAAACGTGTGAACCACTATGAAATTGTGGGATGTAAGGGCTGCCTATGAGGCATGTTAGACCACTCCAGACATCTTTGAACCACCACCACTGTAGCCAAAGGTACCAGCCAGGATGGAAATGTTCATAAAGTAGCCTGTTACTCCCCAAGACAGATGGTTTGTATGCCTATAAATATACAGAAAGTAATATTTAAACTTTACAGTTACTTGATGTATATGTTGGAATAAGTTTAAAGAGCTACTCTACCCTAAATTGATTCATTTACAGGTGTGGAATGGAGTTTGATCCCTATCAAGGATTTACCATTGTCTGAAATAGCATTTTTTTGAACCTTAGGGAACTTTGAGAAATGTGAAAGAATTTCCTTGAAAGCAATTGGTCAGAGGCAAAGCTAAGGAATGGATTATTGTAATGTCAATGATATGTTGAAAGTTGCAAGTCCTTACGCCTTCCTTAAATTGCATCTGTGCTCATCACTTGCAGGGAAAAGCAACTGGTTTACATTACTGCCCCCAACCACACCCAGCAGCACCTGGTACTTCCAGGTATTGAAAAGACTGGGTCACTCCCTTTCCTCTTATGTGACAACACTGGTACTTGGTTATTGGCCCAGGGCAGCCACATAAGGGTTGAAAGAGAGTCCCCAGCCCTGTAAGTTCTAACTAGAATAACTTAAATCTTTTACATGGCTTCTTGTTCTTGCTCCTTTTGGATGAACTGATCGGCAGAGATAGAAAGCATAGTCAATGTGTGCTGCTGTGAATGGGGTGTTAAAGCAAACTTTTTCCTTTTTTTGCCCTGCATGGACAAAGCATGGGTTTACTTCAGGACGAAGCCTAAAGGTTTGTCAATGTCCTAACCTTAGGACGACCCATAGTGACCTAACAGCACTGAATTCTGGAAGACCATTAATTGACTTCCATGTGTCTTTACTCTTATTAAGAATTTGGTATCTGTGATCATTATACTTAAACCTATTTTGATGTAATGTCCTAGAATACCTCCAACCTCCCTGAGGAAGCACATACAGCTGCGAAACGCGTCGGAGATGGGGCCCACAGTGGATCATACAACTATTACAGAAATCAGGACTCGAGGAGTCCATGTTATACTAATGAATTATATATATATATGTACACATGTATGGGCACCAAAAGGAGGTAGTTTGATTTCAATGTAACATTGTATCATGTCAATGACATTTTAATTGTAACCAAGTCTTTATGTATGTATTAAATATACGTTTATACAAAACCATGTATGTTTGATGGACGTCTTGTATGGTTTGGACACTTTTAAAGCC